GGGGTTCAACAGCCAGGAGATGAGGGGCTGACACGGTTTAGTGGTGGCCAGGTTACGGTGGGACTCGGTGATGTTAAAGGTGTTCTCCAACCCAATGGCTCTGTGATCCTGTGAAGCCCCAGGAGCACCAGGCCATCAGCCACCCAGCCCAGAGCCAGGGGCTCTGGGGCACAGAAGGACCCCAGGGACAACCTGACAGCCCAGCCTGCGTGGGGCTGCTCACGCTGCGTCCTCAGTGAGTGCCAACGGGCACACGTGTACCCAAAACCCCAACAGGGGGACAGTGCTGCCCACCTGCTGCAAGGCTTGGCTGCCCCTGAATGGGCAACATTGAGAGCTGGGTCCTGGTCAGGGGCAAGAACCAAGACGCAATTAGTTCCTCCTCAAATTAAACTGCTGCAGGCTCCTCCGATAGAGATTTCCCTGTATAGCTGCGTTCACCTGGCTAAAATTAAAGCTCTAAACACAAGCGGGACTTTATTAAAATAGAGAGGTGATGACAAACTACAAATGTTACGTCTGAAATCACAGTGGGGTCCTGTGCACCTCGCAGGAATTTTGATTAAGTTTATCTCCCCTTTGCTGATCTCACCAATGCAGCCCAAATGTCAATACTGTTATGAGACTCAGAAACACAAACGATCAGCAGTGCACACATCTCTGACTCGTTAAGCTCACCACCAGGACTCCAAAGCAAAGGTCATTCCTGTAACGAGATACTTAATTAGGCAATTTAATGACATACACTTAGCGGCTGTTAACGGGGACCAGAATCCACCGACACGGGCAACGTTCTACACAGAACACCAGAGGGGAATCACAAAAACAGGAAGAGTTAACAGTGCTGTCAAGAGAAGCCAAGCGCTGCTCTGTGAACGACACCTACCCACAGACAAGGTAAAGCCCATTGGTTCAGCTCTCACTGTTCGCTTCTTCCCCTCAAAGACCAGAAGAAATGGTTTGGTGTAACAGGGGTTTTCTACTTGGGAGCGTAATTCCCCTTTTAACTCAAATCAAAGCATTCTGCTGTGACTGTATCATCCCGAGGTACCTATTGGGAACCCACACCGATAGCGAAGCGCTGATCCTCAGTACCTCAGGGAGAGATGCTCATCTCTGCACATCAATCCCCAAGCAGGCTGGGGGAACATCAGGGCTCCCAGACATCAGCTGCCACAGACAAAACTTCCCCCAAATAAACCTGGGTGGAATGTCCCCCCCTCTCACCCTGCAAGCCCAGCACTACCCCAGACCAGTCGCTGCCTGCAGTTATCTTCCTGTGGGAGCTACGTGCTACCGACAAGCAGCAAGACCAAAGTAACTTGTTTCTGCTTCTGGTTCAAAGCTGGGACAGGCAAAGGACTACACCTGAAACAGAACTTGTGGTATTAAGTGAACTCACAATATCAGTTTTGATCCATCGAATCATTTATCACTGGAAAGAGAAGCCAACCAAGGCAGTGAGTTCTTCCTAGACCTTTGAAAAGAGCTTTCTCATCGCGTCTCGTTTGGCTGTGAGTTTGTGTGCACACATAAGGAAGCAATAACCAGACTTACGGCAATGGCAGGACATTTATCAGCTTCTGATGGAACGTGATAAAAATGAGAATAAATCAGCTTTAGAGAAGCTCCCAACAGAATGCCTTTGGCTACACAAACCAAGCCGTGACTCTCAGAAAAGGGACTTTGATAAGAGCAGATACAGAGCAAACCAACCTTTAAAAGAAGTCACCACTGCAGAGAAAATAAAAGTAAATGCCTCTGCCCGTTCACAGAGCAGCCCCAGAAACGCAGCCAGCCCAAGTCAGGGATGACGCAGAGCTGTGGGGTGGACTGCTGAACACGGCAGCTGACGTTTACAGCCGCATCCCACCTGGGTGCTAACAGCCGCAAACCTCAGCAGCACTTGCGGAATGACCCCGGATCGTTTCTCTCTGCTTAGGCCGCCGACGTGGTGCAGTTTGCCATTGCCTGGCGGAGCACCCGCCCGCAGTGTGGCACCGAACAAGCAGCACGGGGCGCTGCGGTGGCTCACGGCCTGGTGCTCCCGCTGGGGAGGAGCAGCGGCAGCAGAGCAATGGTGGCGATGGCGGCCGAGTCCCCGCAGCATCAGTGATGTGCGGCCGCCAACACAAATTCCTTGCAGCACATTTGCTCCTTCCAAGCCTGCCCTTTGCAACCGCTCCACGTTTCCACGCTCCTGCATTGAAGCACCAAACATTTTTCCTTCCCGGCCATGCAGTTTTGAAGCCCTCTCCCACATCCCTCACTGGCTGAAGATCTTCAAGGCCGTTCACGCTCTGTGCAGGAGCTTTTCTGGTCTGACCATCCTCACGACCTCCTCAAGTTTTACTGCATCCTTCCTAACACAGACCACGACTGCATCCAGCAATTCAACACATGAACAAGTTACAGATTTACAGATAGCGTAATTATGTTGTTTTGTGGCTTTTTATTTAATTCTTCTTAATGGTTACAAATCCAAGTAGGAATTGACCGATCCCTGCCGAGCTTTGAGCAGTTGTTTTCATAGACCTACAGCCCAGCTTTTCACAAGCTGTGATTTTCACGCTCATCATTTCTCACTGATCAAGATGGGGTATCACTGATAGGTTTTTTTGAGACAGAGGGGCAAGGAAGTGATTGTCATCCTAACACTGGAACGGGGAAAAAGAGCTGAGGGCAAGGAAGGGAGCCGGGAGGTTGGACTAAACCTCAAGAGACCCCTTCCAACCTCAGCTGTTCCCTGGTTGTGTGGCACAGACCTATCCCTAACGTCATCCCTGTAAAATTCTGGCACAATGTTTTATCAAGTAAATGAAGAAAACCAGGCCACAATAAATAGCCAAGAGGAATTCATAGGATCAGCCTGAGACAACTTCCCTCGAGGGAAGGGCAGGAGCTCACACACAGAGGGTTTGGGAAAACACATGAGGAGTAATAGAGGGAGACACAGACTTTCATAAAGACATGAAGAGGTCTTACACATCTTCACAAACG